AGGTTCATCATGATATGGAAGCCCGTTGTCACACTATTTCATATATACAGGGCATAATTCGTATCTTACTGGAAATCAATTGAGCAGTGATTGTAGTGAAGAACCGATCATTAATGCTCTGCAACGAGGCGTAAGGGTCATCGAACTGGATTTATGGCCAACTTCCAACAAAGAGGATATTAAAGTAGATCATGGATGGTATATATATTGAGTTCATTAGCCAGTGGAAAATTGTTCTTAGTTTGAAATATTTTAAGGTAAAGTTATTTGATTTGCTTGTTTGATCCTTGGAATCAATGCAGGACTCTGACCAATCCTGTTTCACCCCGTAAATGCCTGGAGGCCATAAAGGAACATGCTTTTGTTAAATCTGAGTACCCAGTTATTATAACTATTGAAGACCACCTTACAAGAGATCTTCAAGCTAAATTTGCGGAGGTACTCCAAGGAATCCATGCAAGTTATACAAATATGCATCTTGTTTTACTTTTGGTTTTCTTAGTTTTATTTCATTTTGCTTGCAGATGGCTACTCAAATACTAGGAGAATTGCTATATTATCCTCAGGCTGAAAGTTTGACAGAATTCCCAGCACCAAAATCATTGAAAAATAAAATAATTATATCCACCAAACCTCCAAAAGAACATAATTGTGAAAGTATTGAGGATAGAGGTAACAGCGATGTGCAAGATGGAAGTGAATCGTCTGAAGAAGATACATCATGGGGACAAGAGTCGCCAGACTTTATGGCTAAACCAGAGACTGAGGACAAAGTGGCTGAACCAGAAACTGATAACAAAGTACGTCAGAGATGGGGCAATAATAGATTTAAGCTGTAGAATTATTTATAAGCTGTCTGTACTTACGTTATTCTTTGCATGGATGGTCGCAGGATGGAATTGGCAAAGAAGAGTTAGATTCAAATGCAGGCGATGAACAAGGGCCAGATAAACAGTGTTCATCGGATTATAAACGCTTAATCACAATCCATGCGAAGAAACTCAAGGGTAGCCTAAAGGATAAACTGAGGATTGAAGAGGAAGTTAGACGCCTAAGTTGGAATGAGCAGACACTTGAAAAGGCTGCTGAATCTCATGGAACTGATATTATAAGGTATTTTCTTAGCTATATTAATAGGAGATATGACCTATACTTGCATAGCTGAAAATTCATAAATCATTTTCCTCCCCTTGTCTGATAGAAACGGTGATTCTTCCAGGTTTACACAGAAAAACATCCTCAGGGTATACCCAAGAGGAACACGTGTCCAATCCTCAAATTTCAAGCCACATATTGGGTGGATGTATGGGGCTCAGATGGTGGCATTCAATATGCAGGTTAGAAAGTTATGACCAGGATGGTGTATATTTCTTGTAGCTCTTTTCTTCTGTGGAGAAATCTCATACACATGGTGAATTGCTGCTTGTTTGAGTATGATTCATGATGCTTTTATCTATGGTTGTTAAGCTATAGTAGAAAAGGTCCATAACTGGGGTCTATCTCTGGAAGAAAGTTAATATCCATACGAAACACTTTTGAACCCTTGGACCAGGAAGAGTATAAGTGGTATTTTAAGCTGAAAAATATACATTAACTGCAAGCTATTCATTCACAAGTCATATATATTTTCCTCATGAATACTGACATGTCAGCATCTATCTTCCTTAACAGAAACGTGGCAAGGAGCTATGGTTGATGCAGGGAATGTTCAGGGCAAATGGAGGGTGTGGTTATGTGAAAAAACCTGACATGGTAATGCAGAATCTTCCAAATGGCGAACTGTTTGATCCTAGAAGAAAATTGCCAGTGAAAAAGACATTAAAGGTGAGCACACCTCTTTATACTAGTTAAGATACATTCATGTTTCTAGGCAACCTGTGAACGTTATCGTCTCTTATAATAGGTAAATGTGTACATGGGACATGGTTGGAGCTCAGACTTCAGTCCCACCCACTTTGACAAGTTCTCTCCACCAGACTTCTACACAAAGGTCAGTAAAATAGTCCTCCATTATTAATTTCCTAGATTTTGAACAATATCTCCATATGACTGAGTATTATTACCCATACAACAAACAGCTTTTTTTTTTTTTGGGTAGAATATACAACAAACAGCTTTGGTTTAATCTTGTTCTTTATCTCACAGGTCTATATTGCTGGAGTACCAGCTGATTGTGCCAAGAAGAGAACAAGGGTAATAATGGACAATTGGTCTCCTGTTTGGGAAGAGGAATTCAAATTCCCTTTAACTGTCCCAGAGCTTGCATTGCTTAGGATTATAGTGAGGGAGAAAGACCAGGGAAAGGATGACTTTGGTGGGCAGACATGTTTGCCGGTCTCAGAGCTAAGAGTTGGATTTCGGTCAGTCCCTTTATACGACAAAAAGGGAGAGAAATATAACTCTGTAAAACTTTTCATGCAGTTTCAGTTCATTGACCAAGAAAATGCAGCTTCAATAAAATGAATCTGTGCAGATGATACATTTAGTTCATGATTCAACTGTGATTAGAATTTGACTTCATCTTTAGCAGTTTTTGCTTTGCTTACAGCTTTTCCTTTAACTTTCATCTGATTCTCTCTGAAGGGTCCTCAAGTTATGAGAAATTACCTGATGATTCTGACTGGTATGAGAATTTGAGATGTTGGTGCTTGGCTCAGCATCTGCCATGAATAAAGCGAAATATTCGAAATATATGAACATAATTTCACTAAACAAATTCCTGTACAACTTCTTGTCCTTTCCTGGTTTCCGCGTATATGATCTCTGGCCCGGGCGGTTCGAGCTTGAAATTTCCTCAGAAAACCTTACATAAAGAGATTGATTCTCTGCTCAATCCATCTTGATAATAGGCATTCCACTTGGAACATAAAAATGGGCATAATAATCTGATTCCCACAGAATCTGCTTCCTTTGGCTTCCTGCGTAAGGGCAGCTTCATTAATATTTAATAGTAATCGAGCATGATAATTAGTTTGACAGAAACAAGACGTGGACAATTTCTGTTTTATTTTTATCTTTTGGGAATCATAACGTTGACAGAATATCTCTTTCTCTCTCTCGAAGGATGAACACTGCAGCACTTACCAACGGCTATCACATTGTTATTTAATTCTCTTATTTTGTTTCATTCCGTATAGAAAAGAAGATTATTTGGCTTGGTTTGACGAAAACTAAAAATCATATATCAACGTTTTAAATTTATTTAAATTTAACGTTGGGGGGTTACAAATATGAATATATGAACTAGTTTATCGACACACGCATACTTGCCAAAGATGCAGTTATCTACCCTAGAATTTATTGTTACTTTAATTCAAAATTTGGCACACTTTATATTATTTTTTACAGTATATGTTAATGTAAAGAAACACTAATAATTTTCTTTCGGAAAAATTGGGGATAAATCTCTCATTAAAAAATTAATTGACAAATGATCCCTAAAATGATGGGTTGCACAGAGGAAAATAAGTTGTATATAAATAAAGTTGAGTTGCATATAGAGAAGATGATTTGCAAAAAATATCATTCGGATATAAGAGACTAATTTACACATAAAGATGATAACTTGTATACAAAAAAAAGATAGATTGCACGTAAAGGATATTCAATTACACAAAAAGAGGATGTGACATAAGAAAATATAATTATACACAAGGAAAGATGGATTGCATATGAATTAAACTAAGTGGCACACTGAGAAAGTTCAATTGTATAAAGTCTCCAGGTACTATTTACTAGTTAAATTTTCAATGAAAAATTTATCCCCGGTTTATCTTTTTCTTTCAGCTCATAAAGGAATCATATGTATGTGCCCCGGGAGGGAATATTGTCAATATGGGAGTATATATTCAATCATATTATTATAATTTTAACACGTTGACAGAAAAAAATATTAAATAAATAAACATTCACGACAACTTCTAGAAACATTTCAACGATGCTTTTTAAAAGTTACCACACGTGCTCTAATAAATATTAGAGCTAGTTGATAGTCTTGGGATATTTGGGTAATTCTAAAATCACTTTTTAAGAACATTTTTTTAGAAATTAAGATAAATTTCTTTATATATTTACTTCGTATATCGTAATAACACTTTTAAAATAATGATTTTATTTCTACCCAAACACCCTCTTAATATAAGATTCCAAACTATTTTGTCTTACAAATTTATAATGTGTTCTTAAAAATATCTCTATTGATTACAAGATATTTTCATCCAAGTATAATTTTAATGTACATGATTATATAAAAGTAATTTAAAAAAATCAATACATATTTATTATAAATAGTTTTTTTAAATTTTTCAAATTAATTATCTAATTTTTATATTAAAAATTGAAAACGGTATTATGGTTTTTGAAAAACACAGGTAAGACGCATTGTTATGGAAAACAAACGTTTTCTTCGGCCCAAAGAGGACAATACAGAATCAAGGCATGCCTTTGGTTGTTTCAAACTTTGTTTTTTAATCATTATTCTTAAATCTTAATAGAGTTCGTCCACTTTGTCCCGTTTATTGTTTACAAACAGTTGATAATCTGTTTTCATTCGTTTGTATTTTGTAACGTGATTGTGATATTTTTATTTTATAAATACCAGTAATTGCGTTGGTAGCATTTGTTTATTTTTAAAAATCCACAAGCACTTCCATTATTCCATATAATGCTTTTTCTTCAACTGATATTTTGTCCAATCGAAGTTCTACTTCAAAGTTAAAAACCTCCGATTAGTAAGCATTTTCCTCTCAAGTTTTGCTAATTTTATGACATCAAATTTTCTATTTCACTAAATCATTAATTTCGCCAAAAAAAAATCATTGAAAACCACCATTTTTATTTTCTGTAATGGATTAATGTCCCAACCTTTCCAGCTTTCCCGGAAACCTTTTTCTCCTTTGTTCGATCTTTCTTATAATTTCGGTCATTTGAGCTCAAATTCAATATTTTTTCTCGATGTGACTTCTTGATTTGGGTCTGAGGTGAAATCAAATTCAATTTGCTGAGGTGAAGAACGGGAAGAAAATTATGGGAACCTACAACTACAAAATATTCAAGTGCTTCAACCTTAAGTTCACTGTCTCGGAGCCGGGCCCACCCGAGGACGTCAAGTACGTCTTTTACAAGTTCGCCTCCGGCAGCGATCACATGTCCGCCGATCAACTTGGCCAGTTCCTGTTGATGCACCAAGGCGAATCGGACTTGACCTCTTCAGATTCCACCCAGATAGTTGAGAAGATCTTGCAATTGCGGAATCAGAATGAGGAGATTGAAGCTACGGAGCCCCCGAGCTCCATTCAAGGCATCAGTCTGGACGACTTCTTCCATTTTCTACTCCTCGATGATTTCAATGCCCCCATAAAATCCCAAGTAAGCTAACCGTAATCCTTTAGAATGTCTGTATTTGATTGTGTTTGGACATTTCCTTGGTACTTTTTGTTCTCTCTGGTCTGGATGACTTCTTCCCAATCATGCCGATTTGACTCTCTAGTTCTCTGGTTTTCTATCTCTTTGCCTGCATTTTTCAGTTCAAGAAGAAATAAAGCGACGTAAAGAAAAGGGGGAACATTACGGAGAAGAAACCCAATAATAACTAAAGGGCCCATAAACTTTGAAAATACTATATAACAAAGGCAAACAGGTTGAGAAATTGGCATAGCACGTGTGAAATATATACTATATAACGATTATAGTCCACTCGTCAAATTAAAGAGAGAATCAGCCAAAAATAAGTTACATCTTTCGATAGTTAATTTCACAAGAAACGTTAGTAAAAATTTATATTATCTTAGTAAGACAGAATTTTTAGGCTTCCTAGTTATTTTCTATATTCAGTTGTATGTGTTGTATCTGAAAAGTGTATGCATGTTTATCTTGACATAATGACACGTGTGTACATGATTGACATGAATTGGCAGTGTGTCCTCTGATGACAGGGATGTAATATACTTGAAAATAAGCATATGAGCCTTAAAAGGTAGCAACTTCACAGCATGAGCTCATGGATGCCTAAACCTTATGGACTCTAGTAACATTTATTGTGCGAATGAATTTGTATTTAATTATGCTGAAGAATTCCCATAAATAAAGGGTGTTGACTCGGATAAAATTCTTGAATTATAGTGTCAATTTTGGGACTGTGACAATCATTTGTCAACAGACAATAATTAGATCAAGTCTAGCATTAATTCATCGTGAATTACATCTTTGTTGAAGCATGTACATAGTGTCGAGGAGTCAATAGAGAACAAGATTAAAGAAGGGATTTAGCAGATAATATCAAGCTTTGTGTTTGCATGTGGGTGTTCCCTGCCCTTACTTATGATGCTGAATTATGTATAAACCGCATATTTACCAAGTGAAGTAAAAGAAGTCTCTGCAAGATGATACAAATGTTGCGTTATTCCAGGTGCATCATGATATGAATGCTCCGCTGTCACATTATTTCATATATACAGGACACAATTCTTATCTGACTGGGAATCAACTGAGCAGTGATTGTAGTGATGTGCCAATTATAAAGGCTTTGCTTGACGGTGTGCGAGTAATTGAACTAGATTTATGGCCTAATTCAACTCGAGATGATGTTATTGTAGTTCATGGAAGGTACCTATGAATCCTCAGTTCAATGTTGCAAAGATAACTTAATCAAAATCACTTGAGTATTTTTCTTTCAAATCTTTCAGGACTCTCACTTCTCCTGTCGAACTCATTCAATGTTTGAAGTCGATAAAAGAGTATGCATTTGTTAAATCTCATTACCCAGTCATTATAACTTTAGAAGACCACCTCCCAACTGATCTTCAAGCTAAAGTTGCGCAGGTAGGCTTCAATTTCTGTTGCCCTTTAAAAGATCCAATGAAAACTATGGATCTTTGATTGTTTCTTGTGTCATCTGGTTCTGCCTGTTCTTAGATGGTAACCCAAATATTTGGAGATGCCCTTTACTATCCTGAGATAGATGGCATGGCAGAATTCCCCTCACCAGAATCATTGAAAGATCGAATTCTTATATCAACCAAACCACCAAAAGAGTATCTTGAATCTGAATGTTCATCACCAACAGGTCTTATGGATGAACCAGAAACTGATGGCAAGGTGAGTAAAAAGATTATTGTGGGTGTAATCGGTATATCAATATATTATGTAGAATTTAAACTTATGTCACTGTATGAATACTATTTGCCTTGGATTTTGAACTTTTCTGTGTTCTTAAATTGTTTTTCTTTCAATTTTGACCACCAGACAAATTCAAAACCCTTGCAAGGGCGACCCCCTTATTTTCTGGCATGATCCTTTTTCATATTTCTTTATAAGAAGTTACAGAGTCCTCCATTGAAACCAAAATATATCTGACAGGCAAGCTTATTTGTGTGTAAATATATTTATAGATTTAATTTTAGTTGATCCAATAGGCATCCATAATCCATCCATTAAAAAAGGGAAAGAAAATTTCTGCTTTTTAACCTATTTTATAAATCCATAATTTACTCATAGAATTGAGCGGGTGTTTTGATGGATGGCTTGTTGATCATGGGTTGCCCTCTCTAATATCACCCTATAAAATTTAATTTTAAGCTCTTCATGCTTATGTCACTGATTTAGTGGCGGGATGAACGTGATGAAGTGGAAGATTTGAATGCAAGTGAAGAAAAATCACTCCAGCAATGTGCACCTGAATATGGGCGCTTGATCACAATCCATGCTGGGAAACCCAAGGGTCAAGCAAAGGATTATCTAAGTGTTATCGGTGATGTCAGACGCCTAAGCATGTGTGAACAGATGCTTCAAAAGACTTGCGCATCTCATGGTGCCGAAATTATTAGGCAATTGCGAACTCTACTTTGAAGTAGTAACTGCAATATAATTTTTTTCAAATCACTTTTGTAGCTGACAATCTCCCAGCTCATATATCAATCATGCTTGTAGGTTCACGCAGAAGAATATTCTCAGGGTTTATCCAAAAGGAACACGCGTCTCTTCGTCAAATTACAGACCACATATTGGGTGGAGTTATGGAGCTCAGATGGTTGCATTCAACATGCAGGTTATACATCAATCTTTATTTTGTTCATGTCTAAATGCACTCTCTGGTATTTATGTTTGCATGTAACAATTTATTTATTTATTTATTTATTTATTTTTGGTTACAGTAACAATTTATTTATGTGGACTAACAATTGAAAAACTTTTGAAGTGTGGTTACTTCTCTGAGCTATTTTTTATTGCAGTGGAGTTTTACTTGAAGTGAAGTGCTTTTTCTGATATGATTTTAGTAGTCAATCGGTTTTTTTCTTTTAAATCTTACTTTAGGAAACAAAAAAATATTTCTTTGTTTGTCTTTATCTTGAAAACCCAGTCACTGCAAAGCTTCCTCTGACCTTCTTGGAGGAGGAGATTGCTGGACTCTTTCGTAAACACTACAGGAGTATTTTTATTAAGGCAATTGCATGAAATGCGTTTACTATTCACCTAATCTTCTATAGAAATACAAATCTTATCTTTGGCAGGGATATGGCAGATCACTGTGGTTCATGCAAGGGATGTTTAGAGCAAATGGAGGCTGTGGTTATGTGAAAAAGCCTGATTGCTTATTGTTGAGAGGTCCCCACGGTGAGGTTTTCCATCCTACCAGAACATTGCCAGTGAAGACGACATTAAAGGTGAGTGGCGTCATTTAAAGGGGAAATTAGTTTGTCTGATTTGATGGCGGCTTCTGAAATCTGTTCTTACCCCACTTACAGGTTAAAGTATATTTAGGGACCGGATGGAGCTCAGATTTCAGCCAAACACACTTTGATTCTTTCTCTCCACCAGACTTTTACACAAAGGTGAGTTGGATGCTTCAATCATGTCTAGGAGATCAAAGGCTTACCATTGGATGAAAAGAAATAAACAGAAACCAAAAGACGTTATAATTATCCTTAGAATCTGTTTGAATTCATGACAGGTTTGTATTGTTGGAGTAGATAATGATAAAGTCAAGAAGAAAACCAAGGTAATAGATGATGATTGGTTTCCCGTTTGGGATGAAGGGTTTGAATTCCCTCTGACGGTTCCAGAGTTGGCTTTACTGAGGATAGAAGTTCGAGAGTATGACAGGCACGAATCAGATGACTTTGGTGGGCAGACATGTTTGCCGGTTCCTGAGCTAAGACCTGGATTCCGATCAGTCCCTCTATATGACAAAAAGGGCAGCCAACTCAAATCTGTGAGGCTTTTCATGCATTTTAAGTTTGTTTCAAACTAGGCAATTCAGTCGTCTAGCCTCCAAGCTGTTCTTGTTTATAATGGGGGTATCTTTATTTGTTTTTCCTTCTGACCATTGGCAGCAAGAGCATTTTATCTATAGCTTCTTCAAACAGTGTCATAGGCTGTAGAGTTCAGTGGCTATATTCACTGCTATAAAATCAATTTAATAAATTAAAAACAAAATGTTTCAAGAGCATCAAATTTTACCCGAGTGCTGAAGCTTATAGATCTTAGCTGGGACCCTACGTAACTACTGTAAAAATTTACTATACCCGAAGATCATGTCCATGGGTCAGATTGGAGAGATTGTAGAAGACAAATAGTATGTCAAAAGTGAATGCACAGAACTTTATAATGATTAGCTTGATTTATTAACCTTTCCTTGACAAATAGGTGGATTTTTTTCTTGGTAGATTGATGAGCTTATAATTTAGCCCTCCATTATACATATTTGCAATTTAATTCCTCAGTCACTAAAATGCTTGCAATGTGTGGTTACACTCTTTCATGATCAACTTGCTTTACTACTTATTCTTGAAGCAAAGCCTTATTCGGCCTCGGGAGATAGGTTGACTCTCGGACCTGCTTTGAAAGGAGGGGAAAATAGAAAGAAAACAGGAAGAGGGAGAATATTATGAAGGAAAACTTAAAGAAAAAAACAATTTAAAAAAATTTACTATGTTTGAAAGTTTTTCCGCCTAATTTCATACCCCCTCTAATTTTCTTCCCCTCCAAACTGTGGGTCAATTGGTCCTAAAAAAAGGTGTTCTTTCCCCCCAAATTTAGTGCCATAATATATCTAAATCTTTCGATAATTTATTTTCCAATAAATGTGCGATTTGACTCTCAGGTGTATTTAACATTCTGATTAAATCTAACTAATTACCTCATCTTGACACCAAATTAGATTTATGATGAGTTAGTTGTGGGTACTTGATTAAGGTATGCAAGTTTTTGTTTTCTTATTTGACCGAAAGCTTGTAAGTGCTAACATCATAATTGCAAGTAAATTAGACAACGAAGGGGTTAAATTAAATTCTACGATGAATGAGATGCTCCATAAAGTCCAAGCATTCATAAGTAAATTAGATGGTAGTTTCGTGTAAGAAGACCAATATGGGGGCATATGCCTAAAATTGGCGTGACCCACGTCGGCAATAATCATGAGGTCACAATCCAACCATTAGTTGTCTCTCTGCATTGTCCCCTCTGCGGCTTTCCCATCATCCGCCAGAGACTGACTGCGGTATTTGTATCTGTATATTTCAATTAATTACGCATCAGTTTCATCTTCACCCTTTCGCGCACTACTAGCATTTGACTTTTTCTCTTTATATGATTTAAAAATTTACTTATTTACATGAGTTATTTAAAATAATTGTGAGAGCAATATTAACAAATAAAGCCGACGAAACAAGACAGTTAATAGAGTGCGAGAAAAGGGGGAAGGGGCCAAAAAAAAAAAGAGAACAAAGAAGCTGGGTCCATAAGTCCATTTAAGGTCTTTTTCACCTAAATAATCTATATAAAATTCTTATCCTTGCTGGATTCAATAAAATCAATCAAGTATTAACATTTACTCTAAAGTCTATATTTATAACAGTATTACCATTCACAACTAAATAACTGCACTTCAATTGAACTTAAATGCTTCCATAACGGAAGAACTATCAAGTAGTACTTCAAAGAGGTTGGAGTCGGCAGATTTACTCATCATTAGAAAGGTGGCCCCACAAGGGAAAAAAAAGGGACAAGAAAATTAACTGGATAACGAACAGCTAAGTAAAGCAACAAAAAGAGTAACGCCAAAATTGGGTTCAATTCAATTTCTTCTTTACTGACGTGGACATCACCAACCCCATTAGACTGATCATTAATTACCTTGTATTTTCGTCCACGCCACTTTGTTATTATCCAAAATAATTATAATATTATTTAAATAATTTATCTTGTATTTGAATTTACTCATTGCGTAGTATGCTTTCATAATAAAATTTCAAATAACATCACGCAACCGGCATGATTCAAGTCCATATAAAACAACCATTTCCAGTTGATACCGACCTTTAAACAAAAAATATGTTTCAAGATTTAGTTTGACCACGTGTATATAAAACACCTAAGCAAGCGAATAAAAAAATAATATCCAAGCGTTTACCCAAAACCAAAAAATATATATATATATATCCAAGAACTGGTCGTTGCCACAGGGGATGCGGAGATCCCAAGTGCGGCCTGTGGGACCCAGTGGGGAGCTGAATGGCGCCAAGTGCCGCACAGCTCATTGGTCAGGCCCGCCACGTAGGACCCACCCCTTACCGCGCTCGAGTGCCCTTCCTCCACAGTAGACTTCTGCTGCTAGTTTTTTCCCGCATGAAAAAGGTCTCTTCCACTATTTAATTCCCATCCTGACGCATTTAATCTTCTCATCAGCATCATCGTAGTCCTCACGCCCCCGCACACTTCCATAATCCATACCTACCATTCATCTCCTCACTTATCGGAGTTGGGCAGCACGCATGTCGAAACAGACTTACAGGGTTTGCTTCTGCTGCCGCCGGGGGTTCAAGCTTCGCGGCTCAGAAGCACCGCCGGAGATCAAGTCGCTTTTTGATCTCTACTCTGAGAATGGCTGTATGACTGCTACTCACCTCCAGAGGTTCTTGATTGAGGTTCAGAAAGAAGAGAAAGTCACAGAAGATGAAGCCCAGGCCATCATCGACGGCCTCAAGCATTTGAATATTTTTCATCGCAGGGGTCTCGCTCTCGACGGTTTCTTCAAGTACCTGTTCAGTGACCAAAACCCACCTCTCTCGCCTTCTCTTGGGGTAACTTTTTGGCTTTTCTTATCCATTTTGCCCTTTCTGCTTTAATATCACTGCTGCCCACGGCATCCGGCAGCTCTGATTTAGCATCGTTTATCTTCCATCTTATGGATTTCCTGTTGTTGATTGTCCTCTGCTTCCATGTTCTGACTATCCCTGTACTCGCGCGTGGTTTGTCATGCTTTACCTTGCTCTCACTTTCTCATTGGTCATGATGATATTGATGCCTGGCTTCATGATAATTCCCGTTTAGTATTATGCATAGATGCATTGTGGTTTGAATCCATCCATGGGCAATAACGATGTTAATTGAAGCAGCGTTTTAACTTTCTGAGAAATGATGCTAAAACATGATGATAATTAAATGTTTCAAGCATGGGTTAATCCATCAACCAAAACTTAATCTGAAAACAAATGCCCCTTTTTTTTGACGACGACGTGGCGTTGATGCAAGTAAGAAACCAACCATTTGCTTTATAATTAACTTCACAAATACTTTATCGGATATGACCATATCTACGGATATGCATTTCTTTTAATAATGTATTCAATTGCAGTTACAGCAATTTGTCAATTTGAGAAACTACTTTTTTTGGCACCTTAGCAATATACCATTAGAAGGGTTTTATCTAAACGTTCACAAGTCATTATCAAACTTATGTTTTCGATTTTCTTCCTCTGACGATTGCGTTTCGTCTAATTCTTTCCTGTGTCTAGGTACACCATGATATGACTGCACCGTTGTCTCATTATTTCATATTCACTGGTCACAACTCCTATCTCACTGGAAATCAGCTTAGTAGTGATTGCAGTGATGTTCCCATTGTACAAGCCCTCCAAAGAGGTGTAAGAGTGATAGAACTGGACATATGGCCTAATGCTACAAAGGATGATGTGGATGTTCTTCATGGAAGGTATGACCCCCCCCCCCCGGGGGGTGAGTTTTCCTTTATTTCTTTCTTCTAGCAGCAGTACTCATAAAAGACCAAGGCAATAGACGTTAAAATCATCTTAATTTTCTTTTTTTGCTTTCGTTTGCTGTCATGAGGGGTTTACCTTGCAAAGCAGGGTATCCCCTCAGAATGGACGAAGCCTTCCCTTCTGTTTACTTTAAAACTGATGTTGGAGTAAATCAGTTTGTAAGGAAGGGAATAACAATTTATTATAATACTTTATCCATGTTTTTTGTGTAGGACGCTGACTGCTCCTGTAGAGCTTATCAAATGTCTGAGGTCCATTAAGGAGCATGCCTTTTCTGCGTCTGAATATCCACTTGTAATAACTCTAGAAGACCATCTTACTCCAAATCTGCAGGCTAAAGTGGCTCAGGTTAGGCATTTTGTATTTGTTTTGGGTTTAAAATGCATGTTTTCTTTTAGTTTACCATTCCTGCTCCAACTTTTTAGATGGTCACTCAAACATTTGGAGACATTCTATTTTCTCCTGGCACGGAATGCTTGAAGGAATTTCCTTCTCCAGAATCACTTAAAAGGAGGATTATAATATCAACCAAACCGCCTAAGGAGTACCTTGAGGCTAAAGAAGTCAAGGAAAAGGGGAATGAGTCTCTGAAGTCAAAGGCTTCAGGTGATGAAGAAGCTTGGGGGAAGGAAGTCCCAGGCTTGAAAGGTGGCAGTTTTGCTGATGACAAGGTACGAGAGTCTGAGGCCATGCTGCATATAAAATATAGATCGTCACTAAACATAGTTTTGTATCGGAGTTATGATGAATGACTTTCTTGTTCACCATGTCTGCAGAACCATGTGTATGAAGAAGAGGTAATTGAAGAGGAGGACCCTGAAGAAGCAGATAAGTCACATCATAATGATGGAGCTCCTGAATATAGGCGTTTAATTGCCATTCATGCTGGCAAACCCAAAGGTGGAATAGAAGAATGTCTGAAAGTGGATCCTGATAAAGTGCGACGTCTAAGCTTAAGTGAGCAAGAGCTTGAGAAGATTTCCGTAACTCATGGAAAAGAAATTGTCAGGTATTGATAAATGTTTCTGAAAAGTTCATCTTAGAAAGAACATAGTTTTTTAGCAGTATGACTCGAACTAGCATCCTATAACTTCCGAGCTCCTTCTAAATATTTACTTTTTTCCCTGTGGTAATGTACAAGTGATCAAGTTTGACTTTTAAGTGGGTCTTATCACTGTCTTTTTCTATGAAGTATGTATTCCCCTGGTGAAATTTATATTTTATAGGCTCTCCACTGTTACTTGGCGCTATGCATTGTGATCTGAATTCATATTGCCTGCAAAAACCAAGAAGCAATGAATCTTTAGGCCATATATCCTAGTTTGACACAGTTGGCAACGAAGTGGTTACGCAAGAAGCAATTTGAGCGCATAATAA